ACCAGGTGAGTCAGGAAAATAGGGTCTGGAGGCAGGGAATATAAGGCCGATTCCCAACAGCTGTAACAGGAAATATCCTCTCCTTAGGGCGTACCCGGTAGATGACTTTGTGACTCTCCTTCATCCTCTCCGTTTACATAGGGCGTACCCTAGGTAACCGGTGGACTCCTAGGGGGTGTTGAAACTGGGGCCTTTTCAGTTCCTATGCTGGGGCTGCTCCCACACTGTGGAGTGTACTTTCATTTTCAAAAAATCTCATTCCTTCCTTTGTGTGTCTGGTCCAGTTCTTTGCTCAAGATGCCAAGAACCTGGACACCCTCCACCTTTAACGCAGGAGTTGTTAGCTTAATTTACCTTTTGCCTTAGAAATATAAAAAGAGCCGGGCGCGGTGGCTCACGCCTGTAATCCCAGCACTTTGGGAGGCCGAGGCGGGTGGATCACAAGGTCGAGAGATCGAGACCATCCTGGTCAACATGGTGAAACCCCGTCTCTACTAAAAAAATACAAAAAATTAGCTGGGCATGGTGGTGCTTGCCTGTAATCCCAGCTACTCAGGAGGCTGAGGCAGGAGAATTGCCTGAACCCAGGAGGCGGAGGTTGCAGTGAGCCGAGATCGTGCCATTGCACTACAGCCTGGGTAACAAGAGTGAAACTCCGTCTAAAAAAAAAAAAAAAAAAAAAAGAAATATAAAAAGATACACAGTAAAGGTGTGTAAAAGGAAAGGCCTTTCGCCATCCCCCGAGTCCCATCCCTCCCTAGAGGTCCCCAGGATTAGTTTGGTGTGTGTCCAGCCCGCCCTCTACATTTCAAACGGATATATAAACAGTGGGTCAGGCTCAGGTGTTTCTTCTAATAAATGTCATCATGCTGTATGTATTGTTCTTTAATGTGCTTCTGGAGATGTTTCCAATCCAGCACATCCTTTTATCCATGCATAATATTCCATAGAATGCTCGCTCCTCATCTTGAGGGATGTTTGGGTTGTCTCATTCTGCTCTGTTAAGTCGCTGCTTTTGTGCACAGTGTTGACTATGGGGCTAGGATTTAAGGGGAAGAGATGCTGAGTCCCTGTAAATGTGAGGTGAAGGTGTGCTGGCCGTCATTGAGCAGGCAGTGGGCGGTACATGCTGAGCTGGGCTGGGACAGTGACTGGACTGTAGATTTGGGACTCAAAATTAATGTATGGCCAGGTAAATTTTGCTTCTGGGACACAGAAAGGGCTGCGGGCCCTGCAGATCCAGATGCGTCCACTAGATGGCGCCAAAGCCAGTAAGGTGAGGCCATTGATCTCGGCAGGAGTCTGGGCCCAGGGTCTGACTCCTTAGCTCCTAGGAGACAGATGAATATTCTCTCCTGAGCTTAAATAGCGGGGAGGCTGAAGGGGGTGCAAAGCTGGGTGACCATGAATGTTTAGACAGGATGTGCCCTGGCCAAGGCAGGGAGCTGAAATTCAGTCTGTGGGACAAGCTGTGATGGCCTGGAGGAAATCGACAGATGGGAGGAAAACTATGGACTCTGTGCTCCATGTTGCCAGAACCTGCAGAGGAGCCAGCTTCTGCAGAAGATACAGGGTTTGGATGGGAAGACGAGGTGAGTGTTCTCTATACTGGGCACTGAAGATTTGGTGAGGACACTGGGATGATCCCTGCCATCAAAGCAGCTCATACTCAGGCAGCGGAAATAGACACCGGACACATGCAATATTTCCTTTTTTTTTTTTTTTTTGGTCTCACTCTGTCACCCAGGCTGGAGGGCAGTGGCATGATCTCGGCCTTCTGGGTTCAAGTGATTATCTTGCCTCAGCCTCCTGAGTAGCTGGGACTACAGGTGTGCACCACTCCGCCTGGCTAATTTTTGCATTTTTAGTAGAGGCAGGGTTTTGCTGTGTTGGTTAGGCCGGTCTCGAACTCCTGACCTGATCCACCTGCCTCGGCTTCCCAAAATGCTGGGATTACAGGTGTGAACCACCGCACCCAGCCCAAATGCAATATTTCTTTTTTTTTTTTTTTCTTTTTGGAGGGGGCACCCAGATGTAAACTGGGCCAAATGCAATATTTCTTATGGGCACTGCTCTAAGGAGCAATTTGAAATTCAACAGGGTGATGTAAGTGAAGGTGCTTTGAAATCCCCCAAAGCCCTCACCCAGGTAAGGAAGGTTGTGGTCCTTGTCACCATTTACCTAAGAAAGCTTCAAAGCAGCAGCAGCACCAGAATTTTCCTCCTTCCCTCCTGTCACTCTCCCACCCAAGTTCAGAGCTGAACCCCCTCCTCTGCTACCCATGGCAGTTCCCAGGCCTGTGCCTATCCCAGTATTTGAAGCTGCCTCAGGCTCCCGGGACTGAAGCTCAGACCTGATTTTGGAAAAATGAATGGATGGCTGAGAGCGGTGGCTCATGCCTGTAATCCCAGCATTTTGGAAGGACAAGGCAGGTGAATTGCTCGAGCTCAGGAGTTCGAGACCAGCCTGGGCAACATATCAAGACCCTGTCTCTACAAAAGAAAAAAACAAGCATACTGCTTGGGAGGCTGAGGCAGGAGGACTGCTTTAGGCCAGGAGTTGGAGATTGCAATGAGCTGTGATGGCGCCTCTGCACTCCACTGTCACTGACAGAGCAAGACCCCATTTTGAGGACACACACACAGACAGACACACACACGTACAGACACAGACACACAGACACAAAAAAAATGCATAAAGTGTTTCTGAAACTTTGGTGTGTGTCAGAGAAACCTGGGGACTTACAAAAACAGATGGCTGGCCCCACCCTGGAGTTTCTAATTTAGTAGGTCAAGGGTGGAGTCCAGTAATTTGCATTTCTAACAAGTTTCCTGGTACAGCTGCTGTTGCTGTTGGTTGGGACCCAAACTTCCAGAACAACTGGTCTGAATGAAGGGCTGGGTCCAGGACCTGCAAGTCCCAAGGTACTGCATGCCTGAGTACCTCCTCCTCAGTCTGGCCCAGCAGTGTGGCAGGAAATGGAGTCAAAGCCTCTCCGGGAGAAACGGGTGTCTTCCTGGCAGGGTGGCCGGGCGCTATGGAAACACAGCTCAGCCCAGAAGTGCCCAACCTCCTTCCCAGAAGTAACTCCAGTCCCTAGGGGAGGAGTGAGGTGAACAAACAAACAAAAAAAGACGGTAGAGCTCAGTTCCTGGATGGAAAGGGCACCAGCATGGAAGTGCCCTCAGCAACCTCAGGCCCCAGCCTTCCAGGAAAGGAAATCATTCGCCTCACAGGGCCTCTGGCTTGAGTTTTGAAGCTGGAAGAGAACTTTGCAATTTTTGATATAACTTTATTTTATTTTTCAGAGACAGATCCTCGCTCCATTGCCCAGGATGGAGTGCAGGGGCGCAATCTCGACTCATTGCAACCTCCGCCTCCCGGGTTCCAGCAAATGCTCCTGCCTCAGCCTCTCAAGTAACTGGGATCACAGGTGTCTGCCATCAAGCCTGGCTAATTTTTGTATTTTTAGTAGAGACAGGGTTTCTTCATGTTGGCCAGGCTGGTCTCGAGCTCCTGACCTCAGGTCATCTACCTGCCTCTGCCTCCCAAAGTCCTGTGATTACAAGCGTGAGCCACGGTGCCCAGACAATATAACACCTTTTAACTGGGCTGTGAGTGACATGACTTGCTAAGACTGCGTGCTAAGAATGAGCTGCCGCCAGCACGGGATTGTCCGCTTCCAGCCACCTTCCCAGATATTCCTCCCTCCCTGATAGAGCTCAGCCCCCACCTCAGCCTGGAGCGCCCACAGAGCTTTTATCACAGCTCTTAACTCCACTTGGTTCCCCAGAGCTACAGCATTTTGGGTTTCTCAGACCCCGTCAACACTAATCAGCATCAACTGCAGGACATCCAGGACAGCTGGAGAGGAGCAGTGGTCACTGTTTCACAGTCCTGCCCAAATTCCAGTGTTAAAATTGCAGAAGCCTGGGGCCCACCCCAGAGAATCTGATGTAGCAGGTTGGAGGTGGGGCCCAGGCACTGACATTTTCAAGAGCCCTGCAGGTAGTGCTGGCTATTTACATGCCGAGAAACACTGCCCTAGCATCATCTTCCACAGAAGGCCACCCATCATCACTTAACACCCAACTCAAGAAGGCTTGGGAGGAAGAGGAAATTTATTGGTTCTAAGTCCAGATAATGGACAAAACAGAGTGCTGTGGTTCAAATGTCCCCACTAATGTTCATGTTGAAATTTTTTTTTTGAGTCAGAGTCTTGCTCATGTCACCAAGGCTGGAGAGCAATGGGCCGTGCAATGTCGGCTCACTACAACCTCCACTTCCTGGGTTCAAGTGATTCTCTTGCCTCAGGCTCCCAAGCAGCTGGGATAACAGGTATGCACCATCACACCCAGCTAATTTTGTACTTTTAGTAGAGATGGGGGTTTCCCCATGTTGGTCAGGCTGGTCTCGAACTCCTGACTTCAAGTGATCTGCCCACCTAGGCCTCCCAAAGTGCTAGGATTATAGGCATGAGCCACCTTGCCAAACCATGTTGAAATTCATGTTGAAATTTAATTGCCATTATGACGGTGGCATTGGCAGGTGGGGCTTTTGCAAGGTAATTGTTATGAGGGCTCTGCCCTCAGGAATGGATGCACGCCATTATCTCTGGAGTGGATTCTTGATAAAAAGGATGATTCTGGACCACTTTGCTATCTCACATGCTCACTTCTGCTTTCCATCCTTCTTCCATGGCAGGGCCCTCACAAGATGCTGGTGCCATGCTCTTGGACTTGCCAGCCTCCAGAACTAGGGGACATCAATTTTTCCACCCAGTCTGTGGAATACTTTTTAAAATTTGAGACGGAATCTTGCTCCGTCATCCAGACTGGAATGCAGTGGTGTGATCTCTGTTCACTGCAACTTCCGCCTCCTGGGTTCAAGTGATTCTCTTGCCTCAGCCTCCTGAGTAGCTGGGATCACAGGTGTGCACCACCATGCCCTGACAATTTTTGTATTTTTAGTAATGACTGGGGTTTCACCATGTTGCCCAGGCTGGTCTCCTGGGCCCAAGTGATCCACTGGCTTCAGCCTCCCAAAGGGCGTGAGCTGCCGTGTCTGGCTCAGTCTGTGGAGTTCTGTATGGCAGCAGAAAATGGACTAAAATGCAGTGCAGAGATGTGCCCACGCAGAGCCCTTCAGCTCAGTGCCACCAAATGAACCCGTCATGACTTTCCCCAGCCTGGTAAGTGTTCTGGAAAGACTTGTTCCTCTGTTCTGTTACTGGCCCTCCGTCCCCTCCCTTCCTGGGAAGGGATAGTGTTTACTGTATTATTAATGTCCTGTTGCTACGACAGGAACCACAGGAGACCCACAGGAAAGATGGCCCTGCTCTCCAGGGCTCGCCGGATTCTTGGTTCCCATTGTGGAAGAGATGGGCAGGTAAGAGCCAGTGTGGTCCGAGGTCAGGGCTATGCTGAGAAGCTGTGTGAGGGCAAGGGCCCTGTGCTGTGAGCAGAGGGGTCGCTGGGCCTTTGTGGAGGGAGGACAGAGTACTGAAGGCCAAGTTAGCAGGAAGGGCAAGGCCCAGAAAGGTGACTGATGAATTTGGGTCATGTCCTGGGGAGCAGGTGGGGAGTGGTGAAGAGGTGGGAGGAGGAGGTGGGGCTGATGTTGCTGAGCTTTGGAATGATCTCTGCTTTAAAGTTTGGCTTGTCTGGAATACTCTGGGGATTGAAGAGTTTTAAGCTGCAGAGGGACATGATTAGATTTGTCTTTTGGAAAGCTCCCTGGCTGTGCTGTAGAGACTGGATGGGAGGCTGTGCTGTAACGTTGACAGAGAACCAGCAAGGGCCCCGGGGAGGGTCCTTGGGAGTTGGACGCAATAGAACTTGGCGCTGATGGGAGGGAGGATGAAAAGAGGGTGCCACCAGACACAGGGATCCAGGAGGGTGGACTTGGGGGCAGTTTTGGACACACAGGTTGAGATGCCAGTGGGACTCCACAGTAGAATCCAGGACAGCTCAGTGTAACCCGGGCACCTTCGTTCCCATTGTGAGCAAGGGGAGCTGCTCCTTTATGTTTCTAAGTACACGCAGCCCTCCCTCCAGCACACACAGGAGATTCCCTTTCCCTTCCCCAGGTGTCGTCTCCCAGGTGACACCAAACCACTCAGTGGATGGGGTGAGACCTGCTCAGTGTGCAGGTGTGGTGGCCATGACCTCAATCAGGGGCTCCCAAAGGACTTTTGAACACTACTCAGAACACCATGTGGGGTGACCCTCAGCATAAACTGTGGCCCAGCAGCATCTCTTACATTGTCACTGCAGACAGGTCCTGTTGTCAGCGGTCTCCAAAATGTACCCTGCCTTCAACTCCCGTCTTCACTGCTCCAGCCTAGTTCAAGCCACCAGAGCCCACCAGGACCACTGCCCTTACCTCCTAACTTGTCTCCTGTGTCTACTGCTTCCTTATGCTATACAGCAACCAGAGAAATGTTTTCAAACAGAATCCAGATCATGCCCCTCCTGGGCTTCCCGCCTCCCCTATGGTCCCCGCCCTCGACACCTGCAAAGGAACAATGTGCCCGCCACCTTGTCCAATCCCACCCCCTGCTGTTCCTCCACCTCACTTTGTGTCGTCCTGCACACACACAAACGTGTTCCTACCTCAGGGCCTCTGCATTGGCTGTTCCCTCCTGGAAGGCTCTGCGCAGATCTTCAAGGGGCTAACATCGCTCAGGTCTCAGACAGCCCCTCCACATAGAGCCTTTCCTGGCCTCTCAAGCTAAGGTAGTGGCCTGGTAGTCTCCCTTCAGTTTTCTCACTGCTTTTCATTACCTGTTATTTGCTTTCCTTATTTGGTCTGCCTCTAGCCAACACGTCAGTTCCTGGACTTCTTCCCCGTGCCTGGTGCCGGGAGCGCAGGTGCTCCAGGAGTGTTTGTTCACCGAGTTGTTACTGAATGCTGCAGAGCCCTGCTCCACACTGCTTCCTAGCTCTGGCATTTGGGAGCCTGATGACAGCCCTGCCCCTGAAGACAGCAGCCGGGACAATGTCAGCCTGAGGAGTTAGCTGGGTGGCCCTGGCTCTGATGCTGCTGCTCTGTGCACTCGGCCCTTCTCCTGCATAGTCGGGCCCAGGGCAGGGCACGCTAGGAGGAGGACTGCAATTACTGCAGTGGGGAGGACTCGGGGCAGGCCTGCGAAGGAGGCAGGGGAAGCAAGGCCAGCGGAGGTGGTGATGATGCAGGGCTGAGGGGGGCCTTCTTCCCTGTTGAAGAAGGTGACCTCACTTGTCAGGAGTGGAGGGCTGAGGAGCAGCTGGGGCCTGTTGTGCTGCTGGAGGGAACCAGGGCCTGCAAGGGTGCAGAAGGAAGTCTATAGGCCCTGAGGCCCAGCGCATGACCAGGACCTGAGGATGACCTCAGATGATCCAACCACCTTGGCCTCCCAAAGTGCTGGGATTACAGCTAATTTTCATACTTTTTAGTAGGGACATGGTTTTGCCATGTTGGCCAGGCTGGTCTTGAACTCCTGGCCTCAAGTGATCCTCCTGCTTCAGCCTCCCCAAGTGCTGGGGATTGCAGGTGAAAAAGAAAATTGATACATGCCACAAAACAGATAAACCTTAAAGACAGTATGCTAAGTGAAATAAGCCAGAAACAAAAGAACAAATATACGGCTGGGCGCGGTGGCTCAAGCCTGTAATCCCAGCACTTTGGGAGGCTGAGGCGGGTGGATCACGAGGTCAAGAGATCGAGACCATCCTGGTCAACATGGTGAAACCCCGTCTCTACTAAAAATACAAAAAATTAGCTGGGCATGGTGGCGCGTGCTTGTAATCCCAGCTCCTCAGGAGGCTGAGGCAGGAGAATTGCCTGAACCCAGGAGGCGGAGGCTGCGGTGAGCCGAGATCGCGCCATTGCACTCCAGCCTGGGTAACAAGAGCGAAACTCCGTCTCAAAAAAAAAAAAAAAAAAAAAGAACAAATATGATTCCACTTATATGAGGAACCTAGAATAATCAAATTCAGGGACTGAAAGTAGCATGGTGGTTACTGGGGCAAGGGGAAATGAGGAGCATTTAATGGGTAGAGTTTCAGTTTGGGAAGATGAAAAAGTTCTGGAGATAAAAGGATGATGGTTTCACAACACATAAATATACTTAATGCCAACACACTGTATACCTGAAAATGGTTAAATTTATATTTTGCCACAATAATCTGTCATCAGACTGCTACAACTGCCACGTCTCAATACCAGTGTCAAATGGTCTTGTTCTAATGCTGGAGATTAAAAAAAAAAAGTCAAATCCCTTCGAGATGGACTAATTATTCTAAGAGTCCTGAATACAAGATCAATATGCAAAACAATTAGCAACAAACCACATGAAAAAGTATTTTTGAAAGACTTAATCTAGGTTCATTCCTGCTTAAGATGTAGAAAGGTATAAGAGAACATTGCTGCTACATTATTAACAGTAAGAAAAGGCTAGGCACAGTGGCTCATGCCTGTAATCCCAGCACTTTTCCAGGCCGAGGCAGGTGGATCACCTGAGGTCAGGAGTTCAAGACCAGCCTGGCCAACATGGTGAAACCCCCATCTCTCCCCCCACCCCCAAAAAAACCAAAAATTAGCCAGGGATAGTGGCACACACCTGTAGTTCCAGCTGCTCAAGAGGCTGAGGCATAAGAATTGCTTGAACCCAAGAGGCGGAGGTTGCAGTGAGCCAAGATTATGTCATTGCACTCCAGCCTGGGCAACAGAGCAAGACTAACTGAAAACAGAAACAAAAGGCTGGGCATGGTGGCTCACGCCTGTAATCCCAGCACTTTGGGAGGCCGAGGGCAGATCACGAGGTCAGGAGATCAAGACCATCCTGTCCAACGTGGTGAAACCCCATCTCTACTTAAAACAAAAAAAAATTAGCTGGGCATGGTGACATGCACCTGTAATCCCAGCTATTGGGGAGGGTGAGGCAGGAGAATCGCTTGAATCTGGAAGTTGGAGGTTGCAGGAGCCAAGATCGCATCACTGCACTCCAGCCTGGTGACAGAGTGAGACTGTCTCCAACAAATAAAAAAAACCCACCCCCCCCAAAAAAAAAACCACAGATAAAACCAGATAATATTCAAAATCATAACATTCCTTGGGCCCATCTGAGAGCTGGAGCAAAGGCAACTGAGCAAACTGAATTCTCAAGTGTGAGGAGCCCATCCCCACGGAGAAAGGATGCATTGCCATGCCTCACCATGTTCATGGATGAAGAGGGTCATGCTGCTGGAGACAGGGAAGAAATGAGCTACAATTTTAACAGTTCGTAAAGGTCAAGTGTTAGGGCATCAATTTTGAACAGCAGAGACCCTGACGCGGAATCACAGTCACCTGCACTTTCCCAGGATGGGCTACCAGTGGTACAGAGCAGGAGGGAGAGTCACCCTTGGCAGCACAGACAAGTAGAAATGATCAGCTGATCCCAAGGACAGGCAGGAACACCCTTTCCTGGAACCCTTTTCTATGAAGCAAAAACTTTAAGCCACTGGAGAAGGGAAGCAAACCCTCTCATATAAAAGACCAGGCAAAAATCTACTCTTAGTGTCAGCTCCCTCTTAAACCAGTAGGGAGGCAATGGAAATATATATATATATTTTTTTTGTTTTTTTTTGAGACGGAGTTTCGCTCTTGTTACCCAGGCTGGAGTGCAATGGCACAATCTCGGCTCACCGCAACCTCCGCCTCCTGGGTTCAGGCAATTCTCCTGCCTCAGCCTCCGAGTAGCTGGGATTACAGGCACACGCCACCATGCCCAGCTAATTTTTTGTATTTTTAGTAGAAAAGGGGTTTTACCATGTTGACCAGGATGGTCTCGATCTCTTGACCTCGTGATCCACCCACCTCGGCCTCCCAAAGTGCTGGGATTACAGGCTTGAGCCACCGCGCCCGGCCCAATGGAAATATATTATTGTAATGTTCATTTTGTTTTTCTGAGACTTAGTCTTGCTCTGTCATCCAGGCTGGAGTGTAGTGCTGTGATCTTGGCTCACTGTAACCTCTGCCTCCCTGGTTCAAGTGATTATTGTGTCTCAGCCTCCTGAGTAGCTGGGATTACAGGAGCACAACACCACACCCGGCTAATTTTTGTATTTGTCATATAGAGATGGGTTTCACCATGTTGGCCTGGCTGGTCTCAGACTCCCAGCCTCAAGCCGTCTGCCCACCTCAGCCCCGCAAAGTGCTGTGATTACAGGTGTGAGCCACCATGCCCAGCCTGTTGTAATGCTCTTATGCTGTATGTGAAGTGGAATAATATATTTGAAAGTAGTCTTTGCTGTGTTAAAGATGTATATTTTGGATCCAAGCACACTAAAAAAAAACTAAAAGTAGAAGAACTAATTTAACAAGTCAACAGAAGGATAAAATAGATCTATAAAAAATAATCCAGCCGGGTGCGGTGGCTCACGCCTGTAATCCCAGCACTTTGGGAGGCCGAGGCAGGTGGATCACAAGGTCGAGAGATCGAGACCATCCTGGTCAACATGGTAAAACCCCGTCTCTACTAAAAATACAAAAAATTAGCTGGGCATGGTGGCGCGTGCCTGTAATCCCAGCTCCTCAGGAGGCTGAGGCAGGAGAATTGCCTGAACCCAGGAGGCGGAGGTTGCAGTGAGCCGAGATCGCGCCATTGCACTCCAGCCTGGGTAACAAGAGCGAAACTCCGTCTCAAAAAAAAAAAAATCGAAAAGAAGGCCATACGAGAGGGAAAAAATAATCCAAAGAACATATGAGGGCAGGGCGCGTTGGCTCAGGCCTATAATTCCAGCACGTCAGGAGGCCAAGGTGGGCAGATCACCTGGGGCCAGGAGTTTGAGACCAGCCTGACCAACATGGAGAAACCCCATCTCTACTAAAAATACTAAATTAGCCGGGCTTGGTGGTGCGTGCCTGTTATCTCAGCTACTAGGGAGGCTGAGGCAGAATTGCTTGAACCTGGGAGGTGGAGGTTGTGGTGAGCCGAGATCGTGCCACCATACTCCAGCCTGGGAAACAAGAACAAAACTCCATCCCAACAACAACAAAAAGGAACAGATGGGACAAAGAGAAAATAGCAAAACTGTATATTTAAATCCAATCACACTGATAATTACATTAAATGTAAATTATCTAAACATGACAATTAAGAAAATGACTGTCAGGTTGGATTTTAAAAAGACTCAAATTATATGCTGTCAACGAGAAGCCCATTTTAGGTTAAAAAGTAAAAAGATGAATAGGTTTAGCATGGTGGATCATACCTGTAATCCTAGCACTTTGGGAGACCTAGTTGGATTGATAGCTTGAATCCAGGAGTTAGAGACCAGCCTGGGCAACAAAGCAAGATCCTGTCTCAAAAAAATAAAAGTAAAATAAAAAAGTTAAAGGATGGAATAAGATACATCATGTGAACTTTAATCAAAATAAAACAGGAGTGGCAACATTAATACCAGATGAAATGGCCTTCAGAACAAGGAATATAACCAGACATGAAGAGATATATTACATAATAATAAAGAGGTCAATTCATCAAGAAGCCATACAGAAAACTTCAAAATAAATAAAGCAAAAATGACCAAAAAAGGGGGGGGACACAAATCTATAATTTAGATGAAGAATTTAAAACTCTTATTTTGGTAACTGACAGAACAAGCAGAACTTACCATCACTATCAACCGACTTAACTTGGCTGACATTTATAGAACATTCCACCCAATGACAGCAGGTTATACATTCTATTCAAGTGAACATGGAACGTTAACTAGGAGACACCATTCTTGGACATAAAACAAGTCTTGGTAAATTAAAAAAAAAAAGAAATAAATTAGAAATCAACAACAGAAAAACATTTGGGAAATGCTCAAATACATGGAACCTAACACACTTCTAAATAACCCATGTAATAAGGAAGAAATCACAAAGGAAATTAGAAAAAAATATATACATATATGTTTGTATTATTGAGACAGAGAGAGTTTTGCTCTTGTTGCCCAGGCTGGAATGCAATGACAAGATACTGGCTCACTGCAACCTCCACCTCCCAGGTTCAAGTGATTCTCCTGCCTGAGCCTCCCGAGTAGCTGGGATTACAGGCATGCACCACCACGCCCAGCTAATTTTTTGTATTTTTTGTAAAGACGGGGTTTCATCATGTTGGCCAGCCTAGTTTTGAACTCCCGACCTCAGGTGATCCGCCCACCTCGGCCTCCCAAAGTGTATGGAGGCCACTGTGAGCCACTGTGAGCGTGGATGGAAATTAGAAAATATTTTAAACTGGGCTGGGCGTGGTAGTTCACACCTGTAATCCCAGCACTTTGGGAGGCCAAGGTAGGTGGATCACCTGAGATCAGGAGTGCGAGACCAGCCTGGCCAATATGGTGAAACCCTATCTACTAAAAATACAAAATTAGCTGGGCATGATGGTTGC